GTATGAATATGTGAAAAACATCCTTTATTAATCCAATAGGGTGAAGTGATTTAGGAGCAACATATTTTCAAAATGAACACAGTCTATACGTGAGACTTCTGGATATCAGAATCTATGTTTAGAAACTTGAATGGTAGAAAATCTTTGTAATTTTTAGTCAAGCAATAGCTATGCTTGTGTTGATTTCAAATAAACTTTATTATTGGACACATATACCTTTTTTTTAATATATGCCTTTTTTATGTGAAGGTAGAATGTGATTTCAAAGAGTAAAATTGACCACTGAAATAGAGAAAAAAACATGGAAACACCTGGAATTTGGGGAGCTATTTTCAGACTTTTTCACAGGCTTGAAACTTTGGCTTAGAAAGAACTTGTATTACTAGGAGTGTTGGAAAAAGCCAAAGAGTTCACTTTTAAAAGTCTTTCTTCCTTCACTAAAGATCCATTTTCAAGATTAATTTTGGGGAACAGAATTATACTGCCCAATGCATCAACAGAGATTAAGTCTCCTTGGATTGCAGAATTTCTGGTGGTTGATTTTCATAGAATATCATCTTATCCAGGCTACACACACAAAAAACGCATGCCAACTTTCAAAAGGAACCTAGGTTCCTTCTGAGGCTGGTGACTCACCTTCTTCATCTGCATAGGCTAGAATGGACCGTGCGCGTATCTGTTTTCCTTCTGTGGTTTTCCCCGAGCAGGTGTGCGAGCAGGAGGACCATGTAGACCACGTGCTGAGCACACAGTCCTTTGGGCATGGGGCATCGCAGGCCACAGGGATGGGGAAGATGGCATCTCTGCACAGCTGTCTGTCAACTTCTTCTCCTGGGAAAGACATGATCACCAACAGTCCATCATTGTTAAATCAATGTAAAATGAGCAGTTGAAACCAGATGGGCACCCAGATAAATTAGATTATTGTTCTTCTGTTCTTACTTAAAAACAAAGCCAAAAGAGGGATTGCCTACTATAGCCAGATGTTAAAAGAACACCAAGAACAAGCACACGCACACACACACACACACACACACACAAACATCTCTAAATGAGGCTTCTTTTATTATCAGAAGCATAGGTGTGTAGATCAAGCACACTGGTCAAAGTATTTTTATGCTATGGATACCTGCCATTAAGTAATTTTTATACTCATTAATTGCACTAAGGAGTATCAATGAAGTATGTTCCCCTCCTTTATTCCTTTATTGGAGATGAGCCATTATTTACATACAAATAAATAATGACTATATCCATATCAACTCATAGATGTCTTTATTTACAGTCTCTTGTGTCTTTCAGAGAAGTTATTTTTGAAAATTGGCAACCTTTTTCTTTCATAAAAAAATTGGTTTGTTAGTTGGAAATAGTCAGGAAGTGTAAATGATAGGAAAGCATTATAAAGCCCCTGCATAAGGCAGTCACAAAAGGGAATGGAGGAAAACAAGACAAGGCAAACACATGACAGAAGTAAGACAGCATCACGTCAGTGCTTAACAGGCTCTTTGGGTTCTTTGTTAGTTTCCTACAGCTCTGAAGATAAATGCCAGATTTCCTAAAAGTTTAAAAGACCTCGAATGACCGGGCTCTTATTTCCTTCCCAGGCTCATCTGACTTCACTCCTTCACTTTGCCCTTGAAACTCTAGAGATTGACAAAAAATTGACACTCATTTCATATTTGTTGAATGAATGAAATGAGATATGCAAAAGGCGAATGAGAAAGAAAATACTGTTGCCGTTAATAAATGCCAAAGGCAATCAACAGAATTATAAATAAATGACCAAAAGAAAGTATGAGAAAAAGTCTGAACTCTGGCTTAGTTGGTTAACACGGGATGCTAATGAGGTCAAGGGAACACAATGAAATGACACACAAACAAGTAAAAACTAATCTGCTATTTTGCCACAGAACATAACCAAATTTATGGGTGAATATATACAGAATTTGTGCCTTGTGCTGGGCATTCCAGTAAGAAAGGGTGACTAACTTTGCCATTCCTTACAGCTATTGAACAAAGAATTCCAAGCTATTTCTCACTAATGGAGGATTAGAAGCATCCTTTTAATGTACACTCCTTTATTCATACATTTGAAAAACAAGACAGAAGATCAGAAGTCAATTGGAAATGCTCTAACATGTTAATAGCTACTAGTTTGCAGGGCCTTGAATCATTAGACAAAATCAGAAGTCAATTGGAATGCACTTATGTGTTAATAGCCACTAGTTTGCAAGGCCTTAAATCATTAAACTTCCTCCCTAGTAAGGGAGACTCATTAAAATTACAATTGAGTCAACATTGTACCATTTATTCTTTTGTATTTATTATGATGTGTAGAATCTCTTTTGAATTCTGCTTTTATTAGCTTTGGAGTTTGTCATACATCTTAAAAAAACAATATGCTAGACAGTAGATATATAGGTGGGTAGGGAGAGTACAAAAATCATGATAGTATAGGCATTTAATATTTTGAAATTTATGCAATAATGATGATGTTTTTCTGCTAGGCTTTTTGTTAGTGCAAGGAGGGCTTGCATATATCTTATTTCCTTCATTGCTATCTTTTATTGTACCATCTTACCCTCTCTCACTTTTTTCGTATTTGTTGAATGAATGAAATGAGACATACAAAAGGCCAGTGAGAAAGACAATACTGTTGCTGTTA